CCAGAGAGGGACAGAGCAAGAGTGAGAGAGAGAGAGAAAGTGAGAAAGTAAGTCACCAAGTCCGGGACTCGACACGTGGTCGTCCATGTGGGAGTCCAACACCTTTAACCACCATACCACCTGGTGGCACAAAGGAGAGGTTTTTCAAAAGGAGCCAAGTTGTTGCTCTTCCCCCCTAAGCAGAATTAGAGACCCAGTCTCATCATTTTCCTGTTGAACCAGCCAAAGCTCTAAGGATTTGGTAAGCTTCTGACCATGACTACACTTTCTTCCATTCATGTTTGGTGTAGATGCATGTCTCTGAACTACTGTCTGAATAGGGTCAGTCTTCCTCTATCTTGGAATGGGTCTTTCTACTAGTTGAAACAGACTGCCATCATTTCTGTGCTGGTCAAGCCACGATTGCCAATGTGGATGAGAAGGTGAGATGATTTCTCCACAGGCAGAGGTCACAAGGGGAGCCCAGAGCTCAGGTAACCTGAATCTTTTACAACAGGCAGTGAACATGACTGCCCTTGTTCTGGAGAGAAAGACTATCAGGATCATCCTAACTGTTTCTCTACACAAATACTGGAAAAGATAGCACACAATGAAAGACAGTCAGTGATTCAGAAATGTCAGAGATCTGTGGGGAACAATATTGTTTAAACAATATTGTCTAATTTACTTTTTTCACTTTCTAGACATCGTTACTTTGTGTATGCTGTGCTCTGCAGGGAAAGTGGTCTTTATATTTCTTGAACACATCCTATATTGACCCAGTCTCTTGTGCTACGGAAAATGAATACACAAAAACTTCTTGCAAATAAAAACTGAAACCAGAAACCGCAAATTCATGCTTTTATTTTTTATGCCCATTTTTGTGGTGATTCTTTTACCTATGGTTCGCAGAACTTGTGAAAGTTGCCTTAAAAATTATTTTCATTCTTTACCAATTATTTCCACAACAAAATAGTAAGCTACTTGCGAGTATAAAATATACTTTTCCATGTTTCAGTATTCTTACTTCTTTTTAATAAATGTTACCTACTTATAAAAATTAATGCATTGTCTTTAAGTCCCTGTTAAATACGTTCTATAAGAAGACAGAAGCAGTGATCCCTCTTTTCCTGCCGAGATCCTGAACTAAGCAATCAACAGACCAAAGTAGACTTCTCTAATTCAAATGTCACACTGCAATTTTAAACTGGCAGTCTTCCTTGAGTTTCATTTTACTTGCCAAGGAAACAATGAAGCCCTTATTCTGATGCCAGCAGTACTGTGGGAAGAGACTGGGAGATTTGTGTTTCCTTGAATTTCCTGAATTTTTAATCCACAGAAGTGGACAACTATGATGACCAAATGAGCATGTGTTCTTACTATTTTGATCATATAATTGTGCAACTAATTAAAACTTGGAAAATACGGTGTGTTCATATAAAAATTAACTTCCGTGGTTGCAAGAATACAGTAAGATCATCAAACAGAACTAGGAATTATAGTTAGATAGAATTTAAAGAACAAAAATGAACCACCAATAAAAATGTCTTTGATGGCATTTTTATAGATTATCTATGGATTTATGATAAATATAACCTCAATCTTACAATCTTCTTCTAGGGAGAATAATACTATTTTCTCATGTGATTATCTTCAGATATGGGACAGTAATTTCTTCTTACAAAGTGTCTGCAATACCAGGATTCCAAGATCATTTTTTTCTTTTTTTTGGGGGGGGGCGAGGGAGTTTTTTTGTTTTTATTTTTTGCTATAGTGCATGTGCGCTCGCCAGAGAGACAGACGCAGAAAGTGAGAAATTACCTCCCAGAGGGAATGGCCATGCTGTAATCCCTTCTCCTTCATTCTCCTCTCGGGATCTTGGGCATGCACGCACATGTGCCCCATGTGAGTTTAAACCACAGGGTCCAGGACTTGAACTGTGGTCTACTACATGGGAGTCTAGCGACGTAAGCCATTATGCTAAATGCTGGTCCCATCACAAAATATTATTTTCTGAAAGATGGATATCGAACTTGAGCTGTGAAATATTGCTTTCCTTGACTAAATATGAAGATTTTCTGCTGAGACTTCTCCCTCCAGATTAATTTCTAGTGGCGTCTACATACTAAGTGTCTAGACTGGTCCAAGTGAACAGGATCCAAACATCTGAATATGATTAGGGTCAGAATATTGCTCTATTCCCACGGAATCTGAAGCACAAAGAGTGAAAATGGAATGAAAGAGAGATTGCAGATCACCTCCTCCCGTACCCTCTGAATGCTCAGATTGAACTTCATGAATTAGGAAGAAATGCACCATCCATCAGATGATTAGAAATCATCACAGGGTCACAAGAAATATGGGAAAGCAAGAAAATATCTCTCCTCTAAGGGAAAAGACTAACTCCTCTTCATCCTCAGACAGTACAATGAAACTCATGGAAATGTCAGATAAAGAATTTAGAATATTCGGGGCCAGCAGGTGGTGTGGTGGTTTAGGGCGCTGGACTCCCACAATGCCCACGGCGGTTTGAGTCTCAGACCTGGCAGCTTGCTTGCTTATTCACTCACTCTTTCTCACTCTCTGTCGCTCTCTGGTAAAAATTAAAATAAATAAAGTTAAATAAAATAATTATTTTAAAAAATCATTTAGAATATTCATAGTGACAAAGCTAACAAGTATGGAAAAGAAGAGAGAAAATGAACTGCAGAAGAGACATGAGAAAGGAGCTGATGAGTTCCAGGAGGTGAGAAAATTATTCCAAGATCTAAAAGAGGAAATACACGCTATAAAAAAAAATCAAATGGACCTGTCAGAGGTGAAGGCTATAATACAGGAAGTCAGAACCTCCCTTAAAAGTATTAAAAGCAAACTGGATCATACAGAAAATCGAATCTCAGATGTAGAAGATAGAATCGCTGGCCTAGAAAAGTCCACCACGAAGACTGAGAAAATTTCCCCCAAAAATGAAAATAATATACGAGAAATACCAGATACCATCAAACATCCAAACATCCAGATAATTGGTATCCCAGAAGCCAAAGAGACTCATAAGAGCATTGATACACTATTCCATGAATTCCTGGAAGAAAATTTTCCAAACCTAGAGAGGCATTCAAAGACCAGTCCCAAGAAATACAAAGGACCCCAAATTAAATCAACCCAAGAAGATCTTCTCCAAAACACATTATAGCCAGATTGATCAAAACCACAGACAAAGACAGGATATTAAGAATGGCAAGAAAGAAACGTCAAGTTACCTACAAAGGCTACCCCATCAGGCTAAGCGAACCTCTTACTGGAAACAATGCAAGTGAGGAAAAAATGGGAAAATGTATTCAAAGTGTTAAGGGAAAAGAAATTTCAATCAATAATACTGTACCTGGCAAGATTATCCTTCAGTTGGGGAGAAAAGGTAAGAACATTCTCAGATAAACAAAACCTGGAAGAATTTACCAAACACTAGACTAGATCTCCAAGAAGTTCTCAAGGGTGTGCTATACCAGAAAAATTAAATACAGACACACAGAAAGAAGAGTTCAAAAACTAAGAAAATGGCCAACTTAATCATAAGGACAAGTCTGAAGTTGAATATTATATCCCAGAATTTAACTGGGAAGATTGAACCACAACAGAAGATAGATTAAGTACAAGAGACTGAACTGGTGAAATAACATTTTATGAGTTTTTTTTTTTAGAGAGGTTTTTCACTATAGGGCGCGTGCACTTGCCAGACAGACAGAGAGAGACAGAGAGACAGAAAGCAAGAAATCACCCCCCAGGAGGGATGGTCACGCTGCAATCCCTTCTCCTCCATTCTCCTCTCGGGATCTTGGGCACGCACGCACACGCGCCCGGCGTGAGTTTTAAGCCACCAGGTCCGGGACACGAACCGCGGTCGACTAACGCTAACTGCTGGTTGCCAACATTTTATGACTTTTGACTAAAACATTGCTGATTTTCTTCTAGGCTTTGTTTTCCAGTTTTAAGGATTTTTGTCCTGTCTTGAGCTGCTGAAAGGTTCATGTACCTATTATTTGAATAGAATCCTAACCTGTTTCCTGGCTTAAGTTTTAGGCAAAATTTCTTAGCATTTCTTTGATTTATTAAAGCTAAAACTGTTTTTCTTGAAATTAAAAATACATTAAAAAATACCTATTTAGTGACCATAGTAAGCTATATAGCCATCAGCTAGGTGCTACTTTATAGTATATTCATTCTACTCAGAGTTTCACGCCTAAAGTCAGACATGTATTCACAGATATGTTTATGCCAGATGAACTTGCTATTGAAAGTAGTTAGGTTACTTAAGAAATTTTGTGAATCAATAAAATGTGGGGGTAAAAAGGAATAGGAAACAACTGTAGACAACTGAGATAGTGTGGGAGGAGGGTGGGAAATGGCAGATGGTGAGAAATAGGGGGAAATATATATACATATATATGTATATGTATATATATGTGTGGAAATGGAAAATTATTGATGATAACATGTATGATTAAGCCATTATGCAGTATATTCTGGATGGGAAAACACATTTTGTATGCTGTGATGATGCTCAGGAAATGAATGTAAATTAATTAATTAAAAATAAAAATTTAAAAATAAGAAAATTATTTTCTAAAATTAAAAAATAGAGCATACTGGATTAAAAGACAGTATAAATCAGTATAGACAATGTACTATGTACACATTTCACAGCCCTGCTATTAGACATTTTCATTTCCCTTTCATTTGAATCCTAAAATATTTAAAATGTTAGTGGTTAAAAGCATTCATGGCTAAATATTAGGAAGTAAGTCCAAATTGCAGAACCTGTGCTGAAAATACATGTTATGCTTCAGGATTAAATACAGTATTGTCAAATGATTATTTTCACGCTCTTTTTCAACACACAAAACACCTGGCTCTATAGAGGCTCCTGAATGCATAGAGATAGTTAATAAGACACACAGAAGATTTAATTTCACACATGAAGCAGGAAGGTACAGATAAGCATTCTTTCCTATCAAAAAACAAACCTTAAGGAAATAGTTGTTATTGTTATTGCAGTTGCCAGACACTCCTTGCAAATCAGTCATGGTATTCTAAAACAGTTCACAAAAAAAATTTTACAAAGGTTTTTTTTTTCTGATCCTGAAGAGACCAGCCCTAATGATATAAGAACAGAAGAAAGTCACTGACATCCAGTGCTCATTGTAACACACTCTGTCAAGTGCTTAGAGAATATTGCTGCACCAGAAGAAAATGCACCCATGCTTAGTTTCTCGATATTATAGACACACTATAAAGTCAACTTATATGATTAAATCCACATTATTAAAAGCTCATCCATAATAATTTAAATCTCTTGTTCACACATCACAAGCTGTTTCCAACCAGAAGCAGCAAATGACATACCTCGAATTTAACGTTATCCCTTTAATGCTTCTTATGTGAAAATTATATTCTTGTATATTTTTAAAACTTATAGAAATCATAGTTTCCATTATATTTTTGCCTCTAATTACTACATGTTAATATGAGCAGTAAAAATGCATCTCCATTCATGCAGCTACTCTACATTGTATTCAATACTTAAAAAGACTTTTTAAAATAAGTTATGATATTATTATAGTGACATTAATTTCCAGCAATGAAAGCACATTATGAAAACAAGATTAAATTACATTTTAAGAGGCTTCAGTTTTTGAAGATATGATTAACCTTGTTATGAACTGTCTAAAGAGATTTCAACATGTCATCTATATTCTAAGACTGTATGGTGTAATAAATATTATGTTTTTTAAAGAACATTTAAGAAAGCCAAATATTGATATAATTTCAAAAGTACATGTCAAATAGCTCATTTAAATTTCAATGACTCATGTCTTTTTTCTAATTCAATAAAGGAGTATAGTACTAGTTCACACTATATTTCCAGTCAGAATTCAAGTGTTTCAAGTTGTGTGATATTAACGGAAAAAATACTTATAATATACATACACCCTACAAATTATACATCAGAATTACACCACCTCACCACTTGACAGTTACAGAGTAAGATAGGAGATATAGGAGATTAAATGGTATTAGAAATTAAATTCTAGTTGAAAAATATACCATACCCCCAGAATTTCGTGGGACAGTGCTGACTGTTTGAGGGATTTATTGAAATCCTCCATGGTTACCTTTCAGTGTTAAAAAAGAAAGGAAAAGAGAAAGGGAAGAAAAACAAATGAACAATAATTCTATTAAATCCAGAAATGCAATCTCTAAATCACAGATATTTTCAGGTGTACCTTTAACATTTTCCAATTGTTCAAATTTTCATCTCTCTCTTTTTTATAGGATTTTTAGGCAGAATCATTGTAACTTTTTTTTTTTTTAAATCAGAATGTTTAACAAAGAGTGAACAGAAACAGGAATGCAAATCAAACTTTAATTTGCTGTTTGCTTATATTAAATTCTTCTAGTTTAAATATTCGGAGGAAATAAAAACAGTAAATAAAAAATAGTAAAAGCAGGAATTTAAATAGAGTTTAAAGATTACTTTTTTATTTCAAAATCTATTGAATCATATTACAGTATGACTTATAATTTCCAAAGGTATTAGAACAGATATACCTAAGAAAAAAAATACCTGATGCTATTCCTAAATAGGGTTCTGACAGAAGACCACTGTGTTTTTATGATTTCAAGATACATTTCTCACATTGCAGTATTTTCTGTGTAACCAATTCAAGCAACTCCTCTCTAAATCAGAATGTTTAACAAAGAGTGAACAGAAACAGGAATGCAAATCAAACTTTAATTTGCTGTTTGCTTATATTAAATTCTTCTAGTTTAAATATTCGGAGGAAATAAAAACAGTAAATAAAAAATAGTAAAAGCAGGAATTTAAATAGAGTTTAAAGATTACTTTTTTATTTCAAAATCTATTGAATCATATTACAGTATGACTTATAATTTCCAAAGGTTTTAGAACAGATATACCTAAGAAAAAAAGTACCTGATGCTATTCCTAAATAGGGTTCTGACAGAAGACCACTGTGTTTTTATGATTTCAAGATACATTTCTCACATTGCAGTATTTTCTGTGTAACCAATTCAAGCAACTCCTCTCTGTCAACCTGAAGAGTTCCAAGTTAGAGCCAAGCTTGGACGATTTGATTAAAAACAGAAGCTATCTATCCTTCAGCAGACAATGCTGATCTAAGCTTTGCCTCTAGAAATTGGCTAGATGAATTTGGTTATTTTGTATTTAATTACAGGTTTTCCTGGTTGGTTCAGTGAGTGCCATGGGAATACTGTTAAATAAAAATGATTCTAAATTTGAATTGCAAGATGATTCTATAAATTACAAGAAAAATAAGAAACCAAGTGATTGATTACACAAATTCACAACCTGTTCTAACGAAGATGTGAACATCAATAGGTTGTTCAATTATATGTGAAATTAACTCAGTTATTCAAGAACCATTTTATCCGATGGATATCCAATACTGGTTCTTCTCATTTTCTTTGTGCCTCTTGGACACTTTACTTTTCATTAACAGAGCAATACAGTAAACAGAAAATAGAGTGATGAGATAACACTCAAAACAGTCAATTAATAGTAGTTGGTAACATTAGTAGAAAGAAACAAAATCAGAATCAAGTAATAACTTGATTCGAGTGTGTTCTTACTATGTGTACAGCTTTCATCTCTCCTATCCGCAGAAAGTTAACAGTTGGTCTACCAGGGCATGTTTTGGTGAGGCCATGTATAACACACAAGAAAGGAGGAAAACATAAGTGAGAAAGGAAGATGACGAGCAGATGCAAAGGAAAAGGCTCCCTGGCCTTTTCCAATGAGAGTTACTTGGAGTAACATAGTTGAAAACATCTCATTTTTATTTCTATAACTTGTAGAAATAAAGAAAAGTGGACTTAACACTAAACACCATTTTTTTTATAAATGTTTTTTTGTAACATATTTGTGCACTCAATTATCTTCCCTTTAAATCCTATTTAGATATTTATGAATTATAAAATAATTCTCCAAGTATTCAGTCTTCCTGTACCAGAAATATAAAGAGTCTTCAAAATTCATGGAAAAATGGAAATAAAGTACAAGTTTGTTTTGGTGCAAATTTTGAAACCCATGCATAGGTTTTTCATAATACACATTTCCCATGAACTTCTGAAGACCCCTCATACAGAACAAAAAAATCACAGAACTCATCATTGTTTCGTACAAGTTTCTTGTAACAGTTTCTCCTGTTGCAAGAGACTCTCCAGACAGGAATTCTTTCATGACATCTCTTATTAACCAGGTATCTATGTGTGCCTGAACACAGACTGATCCATCGGGAGTGCTCTGAACACGCATTCAAAAGCAGTGCAGTATGCGGGGCCAACAGGTGGTGTAGTGGTTAAGGTGCTGGGCTCCCACATGGCCAACCACGGTTAGAGTCCTGGACGTGTTGGCTTGCTTTCTCACTTTCCCCCTGTCTATCTCTCTCTCTGACAAAGTTAAGATAATAATTACAATAAATAAAATTAAATAAATAATTGTCTAAAAAAAAAAAAAGGCAGTACAGTGTATTGCAAAGGCATGATTTGGAGATAGCCTACTCCAATCCTAACTCTGCCAACTACTACCCATACCACTAGAAAAAACGCTCAGTTGTTACACTTCTAGAAAAAAAGAGTCTCTTTTGGTTGTTTCAAAGATAGAATGAGATCAAGTAAGAAAGGGACCTTACAAAGTTCCAGGTGACAATGAACTCTATGTTTCTTATAAAAACAGGCAAACCAACCAACAAACAAGCAAAAATATAAGCAACCTTACACTTGGTATTTGGCACATTCCTAACTATAAATGTTGAGTAAAAAATATTTTTATTTATTCACATTATCAAATTAAAGGCAAATCTTCTTAAAAAAAAAGCTTAAGCTACTTGAATTGAAAACTATTGAGGTTGAATGGGATTAATTCTTCAAAATAACTAGAGGAAGTATGTGGTATGTGATCCAAAAAAATTCACTTGGAGAGTCTGAAAAACCTATCTATTATTTTCCCTCTTTCTTCATGAGACCTGATGTCTTATTTCATATTCGTGGAATATCAGATGATAGAAGAAAATTCAGGATCTAGCCCCAATCCCTGTTGTTTGAATCCCTCAATGACACTGAGGCACACAAAAACTGGAAAACTTGGTTTCTTTCCTTTTTACCACTTGATGTCTCCGTACTCTCCTGAACCTCAGATCCAAAATCTTTCTGGCAGAGTGAGGAGGTGAAAACCAAACCCAGAAAATGATTCTACAATCCTAAAATAGGCTTGTAGCCAAAGCAAATCAGTGTGTCTGATAAATCACAAAATACTGCTACAGAGAATTGAAAACTCGGTGTGCTGCAAATTCAAATATACAAGGGAATCATTTTTAGTTTCAAAATCAAAGATAACATCATTCATACATAACATCTCAGTATAATAAAAAAAAACCTTGCTGTTATTTTAAATAGAGTCTGCAAGTTAAAAAAACTTCCAAGTAATAGAATTAAAAGAGACTATTTCATTCATGTAAAAGCTTTCTAATGTATTATTCTCTGATGGAAAGTTAACTGATATACTAGTTATAATTTTCTACAATAATAAATGGAGAATACACTCTCCTTATTCTACAAATTCAAGAAAATTTAGTATACACTTGGGTTAAAACATCACAAATTAAATATATATGAAAAAATATTTGAATGCCCATTTATTAATTGTGTCTATATCCTGGTAATAATGCAAAAAACTTCTGGAAGAATAATATATTCAGATGAGTAGGGTTTGAACATACGATGATTCACTGAGCTTATAGCTGCCGGAATAAAAAAGAATGTTTATTTTCTCTATACATGTACTAGTTTATTAAGTATAAATTACTACAACTAAATTGTTGATGAATCTTTTGACATACCAATATGAAACATATGCATGTTTGAAAGTGTTTATAATAAAGCATGTTGTCCCATTTTATCAATGTACCATCGGCATTGACATCAGAAATAGACCAGCATCTGTATTACATTACAATATACAACGGTTCCAGAGAGAGCCGTTTTCACTTGGGGGTTAGCTTCCATTCATTTACTTGATCCTCTACAGAGAGCAGGATGTAAAATCATTCCAATATGTATCTGCTCTATGGAACATGTGCTAGTGGAAAAGCTTTGTTCTGCATTATGTTAGCGCAAATCATAGTGAGCAGATCCAAAGAACTTTTTCTCCCTGGAGGAGAAATAAACTCTGCAAACACTCAGGAATCTTTAGTACTTTTTCTGTGTATATTTGTATGAATATGGGTGTGTTTTTTCACTTAAAATGTTTACTGATTTTCTCAAAACAGCATTACATACTCATAGAACATTTAGAAAAGATTGAAAAAATACAAAGAAGACAGAGAAAATCACCTAATTCCAGCCATAAAAATAGCCATTAGTCACATTTTGGTATTTTTTACCCTTTTTTGTTTCTTTCTAATAGTGCGTTAAATCATAAGACATATTTGTTTCCAGTTTTCACAGAGGACACAGTGACTTGATGCATAAGTTAATATCAGATGTAAAAAGTATTCCTTTTCCATGAGCCTGAATTTTAGTTCGGTGTAGACACATCCTCTTTAAGAAATTGCAAAGAACCCATCAGGCTGTTACCCGGTAGACAGCGCGTCATAGCATAGGAAATGTAGTAAAAGCAACATTGTCGAGCCCGACTTACCTCGTCATCGTCGGCGTCGTACTGGGCATAGTGCTGCTCAAGCATCTCTCTCTGGCGCCTTTCTTGTTCCAGTGTCTGGCTTATCAACTGGGCCACCTCACTCACTTGTCCTGGTTTTTCTCGCCCAATAACGAATCTGTAGAAAGGTTAATGAAGACTAACATAGTTAAGACTCTTCAGCAAAAAGTAGGGCTAAGAAAAGTAACCAAGCTATATTATCTCAGCAGGTTCCATCCATCAAGCCTTAGAAAGTGTATCATCTAAGTACTCCAAATGGTATGCTTGGCTGAGAGAAAAGGTTAGCTGAAAAATTAAAGTGATTTTTACAGACACAGTCCATGAAGGAAAAGATTATTATATTTTTTTTTAAAGCTGCTGGTTCTGGGACTCAAACCGCAGTTGATTGCATGGGAGACCAGTGACATAACCATACACCATCTGCTGGTCCCACACAGTCCATAAAGGAAAAGAAAGGGAGAAAGATAAGAACCAAAATGATCACTTTGGGAAAAGACAACAGATGTAATCCATTCTGTGGTACTTTTCACATTTTTGAAGTCTGACGAAATGGAAGCAAACTCCTAATGTCCTGTACGATTAAATGTAATCATTTTTATAACATCCTCTTTACAATGCAAAAATTGTTTCAAAAAACCTTTTGAAGTTTAGCATAGCTCAGACAGGTAAATAAACAGAGGGACATTAACTTTTTTGCTAAGTTACTATGACTTTGGAAGTACGAGAGAGAAAAGAAATAGAAGGTGTATTTTTTTAATTGTCAGAGGGCACATGCACTGTTCAGAGAAACAGAGAGAAAGGGAGAGGAAGAAAGCAACCTCCAATGGGGAATGGTTACACCACAATCCCTTTTCCTCCAGTTCTCCACCCTACTGGGACTTTTACATGCATGCTTACACACAGAGCATGTCACTGAAGCCAATGGAACCGAGACTCGAGTGCAGTCAGTAACGTGGGATCCAGGCCCTTAACTATTAGGCTACAAGGTTGGCCCCCGAAGTTTTTTTTTAACTGTGAAATGAAAAACCTAGGGCAGCTGGTAGCATGGTAGCTAAGGTGGCTGGATTGTACATGGTCAACCACACAGTTTGAGTTCAGGATCTAGCATTCTGAGAAACACACCAGGCATGGTTGCATGCCCAAAATCCCAACAGGAGGGAAAAATGGAGGAGAAGGAATTATGGCATGTCTAGCTCCCATGGGAAGTGCTTTCTATTTCTCTCCCTTCACCCCCACTTTCTTTCTTTCTTTCTGTCTGATGAGTGCATGCACCTTCTGGCAAAACCAAAACAACACGGAAATGAGAGTGCTTAATTAATTCACTATTTGGGGAACAAAAGATGGTATGAGGAAGGATATAGCTCCAAAAATAAAAGAGCAAAGGGAAATAACCATTGATATTAATTTCAGTAAGAAGAAAGGCCTTAGAAAAAAAAAAAACATCTATAGTCACTTATGATACATCATTGTCAGTACAATGAATACAATGTATTTTGCCCAATAAACTAATACTCACTTTTTAACATTTTTTCAAACAAATAAATGGTTCAATTTTTCAAAAACATAAATAGTATGTCTTTAGTATATAGTTTATCAGTATCAATTGGCATCATTATTTTGAATGTGACTCTTAGATTAATCTTGTTTCTAAACTTAATTGATGCTTTTCTCTGAATATAGTAGGATGCCATAGTCAATTCATTTTAAATGAAATATACTACCTATGTTTGCACAAATACACTACTGGTCAAAATTTTAAACCGGAAAGGTTGGCCTCCAGCACCTGCTACCATCGCTGACCACCCACACATTGGTTCAGAGTTGTGACTGATGAGAATTGAAGGCCATAGATGAAGATGAACCTGAATAACTACAAGAGCCAAACTCGTTTTTCTGATGCAACAGTTTTTTGGAACACTTCCTACACTTCCCATTTGATCAACACCACAGTTCTATGAGGAGTGGATGCTACATACATGGATGGCGATCAAGCTGTGTGGAAGTACAAGAAACTGCTTTTGTGTCAGACATTGTAAATTCAGACATAACAGTGTATAACTTTGTTCCTGATGACCCAGACTCAGATGTAAGCCAAAATGTTACTGAGGACATTGTGACAGAAGATGTGCAGTGCCCCGATATCATGGAAGAAGCTGATGTATAGAAACGGTCATCATTCCTGATGGCTAGACTCCGGTGTGGCTGAAGAAGTTTCTTTAGCACACTACACAATGATTATGTTTTAGCTATTGAAATTATATCAGCCTCAATGTCTATGCCAGAACATGTCTTGACAAGGGAGTCCATGTGACTGATGTTGGACACACTGAACATATGTTTCGTGATAATAGAAGCAGCAGAAATCGTCATCAATCCTCTGAGTACCTATGTAGTTTCAGAAGAAACATTGGTGGAAAACTGTGCCTCTGAAGCAGTCATAGAATCCAATAGAATTCCTGTGGACCAGCAAGATGATGGCAAAGGCAACCGTGAGGACTACCTTATGATTTCCTAGGATGATGCTGGCAAAATAGAACATGATGGGTCCTCTGAATGACTATGGATGCAGAGTTGGAAATTGATTCTTGTGAAGGGAAAAGCAAGTGCCCCGAAGTCATCAAAGTGGTGTGTGTGTGTGTATTTATATATAGTAAAGAGAGATGTTTGCTATAGGGTGCCTGCACTCACTGGAAAGACAGAGAGACAGAGAGTGATAAATCACCTCCCAGGGGGATGGCCACATTGCAATCACTTCTCCATTCTCCTCTCAGGATTTTGGGCATGCACACACACGTGCCCAGCATGAGTTTTAAACTGCCAGGTCTGGGACTTGAACACTGGTCAACAACGGGGGAGTTCAGCAACATAACAATTATGCTATCTGCTGGTCCTAAAGGTATACATTTCTAAAGACTGACCCTGGAGAAGATGACTTAGGTGGACCTGTAGACATTATGGAGAGAGAACCTGAGAATGACCATGAAGTCAAACTACATCAGGACAGCAATATTTGTGTTTTCAAGGAAACGATGGATTACATGACTGTCAATAACTCTCAGCAAGAAGATGAAGATTACTTTTGCCAAAATCAATGATGAAGTTTATATGAAAATGATGGTAAGAGAGGAGAATGCTGCTACTGCAGCAGAAGCCCCTACTTTACATGAACTGCAGATGTATGACAATGAAATTAAAACCTTCATGCCCACTGCATAGGCAGCAACTTACAGTAATAATTCTGATAGAATTGAAACCTGGAATGGCACTGCAAGTGCCCTCTTGCACATCAGCTGGCTTGAGCAGACTGATAAAAAAAAAAAAAAAAAAAAGGAGAAGACCTGATTCTAGGCAGTATCAAACAACAATAATCATTGGCCCTCCTGGACATCCCTTGACTGTCTATCCTTGCATGATTTGGGGGAAGAAGTTTAAATCATGAGATCTTTTGAAAAGACACATGAAAATCCTGAACACTTTACCAAGAAGAAATATCACTGTACTGACTAAATGTTACAATAGATAAAACAGAAATACAAAAGATCATTAGGGAATACTATGAGCAACTATATGCCAAAAAACAAGATAACCAGGATGAGATGGACAAATTTCTGGACATAAATAATCTACCAAGACTGAATCATCAAAACACACAAAACCAGAATGGACCAACAATAAGCAACAATACTGAATCAGTAATAAACAATCACCTAACAAAGAAAAGCCAGGTCCTGATGCTTTCACTTCTGAATTCTACAACATGTTCAAAGAAGAGCTAATTCCCATTCTACACAAACTACTTCTAAAGATCCAAATGGAAGGGACGCTTCTAAATTCATTGTTTGAAGCTTCCATCATCCTCACCATCAATGCAGACGAGGACATAACAAACAAACAAAAAGCACAACAGACCAATATTTCTGATGAATATAGATGCAAAAAAAAAATCTCAACAAGATACTAGCAAATCGTGTCCAATGACATATTAAACAGATTATACACCATGACCAGATAAGCTCTATTCCAAGGATGCAAGGATGGTTCAACATATGCAAAACCATAAATTTAATATACCATATTAACAGAAAAAAGGGAAAAAAATGTATGATCATATCAATAGATGCAGCAAAAATCATTTGATAAAATACAGCATCCATGGTGAAAACTCTCAGCAAAATTGGCATAGAAAGGACATTTCTCAATACAATAAAAGCAATATATAAGAAGCCAGCAGATGGCATAGTGGTTACGTCACTGAACTCCCAGATGGCCAATCATAGTTTGAGTCTGACCCAGTGGCTGAAAAATTGGGGCATGTGTGCATGCCTGCACAAGATCCAGGGAGGAAAATGGAGGAGAAGGGATTATGGTGTGGCCATCCCCCTACTGAGAAAGTGATTTTTCACTTTTCCTCTCATGTCTCTGTCTCTCTTTCTCTCTGATGAGTTCACATGCCCTAAGGCAAAAGACTCTTTAAAAAAATAAAGCATACATTAAAAAAAAAAAACATAGCTAATATCATACTGAATGGGGAAAAGCTGAAAACTTTTCCACTAAAAACTGGAATAAGACAAGGCTGCCCACTTTCTTCATCCCTTTTCATTAAAGTGGTAGAAGTCCTAACTAATGCAATCAGACAAGAGAATGAAATAAAAGGCATTCAAATAGAGAAACAAGAAGTGAAATTATCTCTATTTCCAGATGACACGATGATATACACAGAAAATCCAAATGAACCACAGAAAACACTTCTGGAACTGATAAATCAATACAGTAAAGTAGCAAGATACAAAATAAATATAAAAATCTATAGCATTCCTATACATGAACAAGGAGGAGACTGGGGTAGAACTGAAGAAAGCAATTCCATTTACAACAGCCACAAATATACGAATACCTAGGAATAATCCTAAGCAAAAAAAGTCAAAGACCTCTACAGAGAAAACTATAAATAACTTACAAAGAAATTGGCAATGACATAAATAAGTGTCAAGACGTTTATGTTCCTGGATTGAAAGAATTAATATAATCAAAAAGTCAATCCTACCCAAATAAATTTAATGCAATCCCAATCAAATTACAGAGATTTAGAGAAACCTATCATAGAGTTTTCCTAGAACC